ACTTGGTGAGTTCCCTGACACACCGGGGACACATATTCATGTATAAAAGACGAACAAAAGTGCATTTTGCATGATAGGTCACCTTTAAATCTGGTAAACTTTTGTCCCTCACACTATGGAGTGGTGCAGTCATGACACATTTTTCTAGGCCAAAGGGAAGGGACTTGTATTTTGGATTATTGCTGAAAATAATCTCTGTGGCAAACAAACGATAATTACAGGTTTAGTTCAGCAGGGTAATCTCCACATATTAACACGACTTTATGATTTGTGAAGTAAAAAGCTAATGTTGGGCTATAAAGGAACTACAGCACGGTCACATGACTTCACGTCACCACCGCTAAGCTAAAGGTGGCTAATGTTGGGCTATAAAGGAACTACAGCACGGTCACATGACTTCACGTCACCACCGCTAAGCTAAAGGTGGCTAATGTTGGGCTATAAAGGAACTACAGCACGGTCACATGACTTCACGTCTCCACCGCTAAGCTAAAGGTGGCTAATGTTGGGCTATAAAGGAACTACAGCACGGTCACATGACTTCACGTCACCACCGCTAAGCTAAAGGTGGCTAATGTTGGGCTATAAAGGAACTACAGCACGGTCACATGACTTCACGTCACCACCGCTAAGCTAAAGGAGGCTAATGTTGGGCTATAAAGGAACTACAGCACGGTCACATGACTTCACGTCACCACCGCTAAGCTAAAGGTGGCTAATGTTGGGCTATAAAGGAACTACAGCACGGTCACATGACTTCACGTCACCACCGCTAAGCTAAAGGTGGCTAATGTTGGGCTATAAAGGAACTACAGCACGGTCCTAGTGTATCGTTAGCTCACCATTTCCACCCTCAAAGTAATTTCTCAGACTGACTCTGAGAGGAGTGATGGACAGAGTGATTTCCTCCTGGGAGACGGGGAAGTGCATCACCATTTCACCAAGAACCCTGCAGAGGAAGAGCAGAAACAACATGTCAATCAACCTGAGCATCGAGCGGAGAGCCTCATGTAAACACTGCTGACACATGATACCTTGGGTATTAAATCTTTATGTCCTTGTCAATCTGGTTGATTAGACTGAATTGAACTGAAGCTGTGTGAATGTATTTACCCCTCTGTGAGTGCAAAACATTGTGAACACTTAACATGTTTCTATTAAAGAGACTGAATCCTGACAGCGGCAGCCATACATTTAACTCATTTTACAGTGTCTTCACTTGCCACAATCTGTAAGTACCTTCTAAGTAAATGTTAAGACCTTAGATTTCTGTAAATCTAAATCGAATAAATATATATCAAGCTTTTATCTTTGCACAGAAGGCGTTGTGTTTAGTTTTAGTTTGTTTTTTTAAATATATATATATATAATGTCTTTAATGTGGATCCAATTAATTAATTAATTAATCAAAGTTTATTTATATAGCCCAATATCACACATTTACATTTGTCTCAGGGGGCTCTACAGTGTATACAGAATATGAGTATGGCACCCTCTTTATGAAGGAAAAGGTGTTAGTGCACTAATCACTCATGGGGATATTAAATAAAGAATAAATAGTGAGCTGCACACCTGGCGGGGGCTTTCAGCACGTTGGGACAGAGATGTGAAACAAACACCGCCTGCAGAGCTTCACACTCCTCGAAACACAGGTCGTGTGTCTTAGTGATGCCTGTCAGAAAACACAAGTGATTACACTGCCACCAAGTGCTCATAACATGGTACTACAGAGTCTGCAGCATCAAGGCATGGGAAAAGCAAACTGACCAAGTGAAGGACAAAGGCTCAGGGTTCTATCAAGTCAATACAAATTGATTGAAATATAATGTCCCTACAATCTCATAGGATATGTACTTCAAATCCTGAATAGTTCCTGTACCTGCAGGTGGTTTATAAAAACAAATGCAATGTTCCCTACCGTGTCTGCAGAAAAACTGGATCTTCACTCGGTCATTGGGAGTGTTGATTTGTATCTGACATCGCTCCACGCTACGCTCAATGGAAGCCAAACACCGGAAGAGAGGTAGAATAGACTGAAGAAGAAGAACAGACACGCTTTAGACGAGGTTATCATGGCCGTTTGAAGCCGAGACACTACAGGCAAAATTATTGTTTTTCATGCACTTGTCAATTTTGAGATACAAAATCCACATTTCGGTGTTTAATTTATTAACTTTGTCTGATTTAGGCGAGTCGTTTTCTCCTAAATTCACCAAAAGTTAGAATCAGAGATCAGATAATGCCTTATTAGCATATTTAAACATAACATTTCAGAAAACTTGTAATATAAAAAAGAATTGTACTATTGTCAGTAACGATGGGGGAACGTCTCATGGTGATATCTGTTAGTTACATGTTTTACCCTATGCACCCGTAGTGTGTACGACATGTGTGAGTTTTACAATCCATATCTTTAAAGGCCGTTTTCTCTCCTCTTGTCTCAGCAGAAATCTTTTTACAGAGCGTTCACACACCATTCGCACTTTATTACTCAAAACATGGCAATAAGTGTCTCCCCTTTAAGATAGAACATTTCACTCGTAACCACAATAAGTCAACAATGGCTGATGTACCTTCATGAGCAGTTTGCATTGGACTGTTTCACTGCCCTGCTCTGAACCCAGGTTGTATTTCTGGAAGAACATCGGCGAGAAGAGGAAGCAGGCGTACGCAGAATGAGCCGAATTCACAGATCTCAGCGCCAGCTTTGAGACAAAAGAGAGGTGTTCAGTAAAGATGATGCCACTGCCATTGCCTTTACGAAGAAAGGAGGCTAAATACTTTGAGACCAATATGGAGGCCTAATGTAAAAAAATGTAATTTAAAAAACAAAGAGATTATAGGGCAAGCAATAACACAAGCGTTAATCCACTATGAAAGAGAGGGAGGCAGATCTTTAAAAAACTTTGGAGAAGTCTCAGTGAATGTAAATTAAAAAATAAATGTGTTAGTTATTACATAAGTTATCAAAATAAATCATAAAGAGGGAAATTTTTGTAGGAAGACAACAGGTATTGATGCATATAATAGCCTACATATGTGTGATGTGTGTGAAATTAATTCACACAGCAATATTTTTGGCTTAATTTCTTAAAGCAAGAAAAGAAGGCGGGTACTTTTTCCAAGTTTTGTCTAAGCTTCCCACTTCAAAACCTCTTCTCTAGGCAAGTCAGAATTCCTGGCTACTCCTCTGATTAATGTCAGGAAAATGGGATAATTTCCTTGTGGGATATGGGATAATTCCCAGTTTGAGTAGGTGCTGCTCACCCCTTTACTCATGGGATCCAAACAAAGCTCATCTCCAATCCTTGACAGGGAGTGAATGGCCTTTCCAAATGCTAAAAGGCAACAAAACAAGATACAATATAAATACAATAAAACTAATAATACTTTACAAGAGAAACAAAGTAATAACACAAGTATTAAACATCATTAAACAAGTTTGAGGAATACTAAAACAATATAAAATACCTATAATGATGTAAGTAACGTGTAGAATTAATTAAAACATGAACACTATTGTTTAAATTAACAATATCGATCATAACAATAACCTAGCTTGTATAAAATGCCTTTGTTAGCTAGCTGGTTAGAAGCTAAAGTAAGCTAACCAGCTAGCGTTTTATGATAAATTAATGTTTTATAAGCCAAAACAAATTAAGTTACGTTTTTTTTTAACCCTCTGGATTATATTATTATTCTTTACAAATCATTACATATGTCACAAGTCTTGTTTTACATTACCTTTTACAGCATTTCCTTCCAGAACACAGTTCATATTTTCTCTGAGGGCGGGAAGATGCTAACAGAAAGTCTGATAGCTAACCTAGCTAATGGTTATGCTAGCTAGTGAAGCTAATGGACTTTAAAAAAAAGACTAACAAGAAAATCTGCGCGGATATTTTTAAATAAAAAACAGAGACAGATTTATAAAAATCTCACAATTTGTTTATGTTTCTTAACTTTTATCTGGTTATCCTTTAAATGCAGAGCAAAAATTGTACGGTCATTTTATTTTATTATTATTTTTATTTTAATTCAGGAATTTATTTTTGTAATTTATATCACTCCTTGTTTAGGATTGTATGCACTTATTTAATATACATGATATAATCTTGTGTTACTGTTCATTTTTTAACAATATTATTCAACCTACCTTGTTGACTATATCATATTTTATATTGATATAAATACATAAAGTCTGATTCCTCGAACTCAAGGTGAACAGAATATTTTATACAATATTTAATGCTCTGTTTTGTATAAAAGCGTTAAGAATGCAAGTACCCTTTATGACAAACATGAGATTTCTTTCATCTTTATTTATCTTTTGACAATGACAATAAAGTTATATTCCACAACTACAGTAAAATAACTGATCAAAATGTAACTAGTAAACACGTTGAGTACCTTAGCAAATGCAGTGTTGTTATATGTGTTTATAGATATATGTAAAAAAAACATGAATGCACCATAGACTGTATTTATAAAGGACTGCACACATCCTTTGTTAGAGGCATTTACACCTACAATATCTACAATAACATAAGAAGTGTTAACATTAAGACTCAATATAAGGTAATAACACCTTGAAAATAATATGCCATCAAATGGGTCATCTGTTGATTATTTTTGGAAGTATGACATCAGAATAATTGCTGCTCTTCCTCTGTCCTTGAGGCTTCGTTCTTACATCCTTCACTGCATCCTTTGTTTTGTTTTCTCCTCGCTGATGAGTCCCAAGCCTCCTACTGCAGGGGGGATTCTGACCTGAGAGATAAAAACCAGAACATGAGATGGATCTTACTGGTCAACAGCAGAGAGGGCAAAAGTACACACATCCTTTACTCAAGTAGAAGTAGATATTCATGTTTAAAAATACTCTGGTGAAAGTAGAAGTACTGACTAAACTTCTTTACTCAAGTCAAAGTAAAGAGGCTTTGAAATGTACTTCAGTAAAAAGTACCCATAACTAGCAGCTGTTTTAAAGAGTACCTGACCTCCCTTTATATTAATAGAACAATAATGTCATTGTTAGCTAATGAATGTTTCCATGGTGAACAACGGCAACATGACAACGTTTTCATTGGTCCCTCTTCTTTAGAGAAGACCAGGAAATGATGGATACACGGATCGTGTTCAAATCAATAGGCACGCAATGACTCTAAATAATAATGATCACGCCACCAAACACACATTCAGACTAAAGGAACCAGCCTGTACAGGTATTTGGGTTCAACATGTAAGAAGTAGAAAGTAAAAAGTCATCAGAAAAATAAGTAGTGGAGTAAAGTACTGATACCAGACAAATGTACTTAAGTACAGTAATGAAGTACTTGTATTCCACTACTTCCCACCTCTGGTCCACAGAGGTGTGTGAGGGATGTTTAAACAAACACACCTGACTGAAGGCATGTGTGCAGAAGGTGCAGGTAGTGCTGCTTCATCTGCTGCCTCATGTGCTCCGTGCTGTAGACGCTTGCTATGCTGCACAGGTAGCGTCTCTGTCCGGCTGTGAGGGCGGGATGCTGTGGCACAAACAGAACTCATGAGATTATATACTAGAGCAGAATGACAGTAATCCTTTTACATATGAGGAATAGTGCAATTTAATGGTGGTGCCTTATGGGATTTTAATGGCCGAAAGAGCTGGGAAGGTTTGATTTGTTATTGCATTTGATAAAATACGATAAAAATAACTAATTTGCTGAACTTAAATCAACACTCATTTCACTTTAATTGTACAAATTGTCTCTTCTGCTTAAAAATATCTGCATCTGTATGAATTTAGATAGCTAATATACAATGGCCATACAATAATATATATATATATATTCCAATGCAAACAGGGATTACGCTATAGACCATCTTTTAGCATTTTGATATAGCAGATTAATTTGATTTAAATTGTCAGATATATTGTTAAAACTTTAAGATATCTATCAATTTCATAATAATAAAAATAATACAAAAAATTGTTTAACTTGTTGTTTTTTGTCTGCACTGTTCACTTGACTACATGTATCTGCTCGCATAGAAAAAATGCAAAATGTATAACTACAAAAATAATCACAGGTTATCAAAACACTAAACTTTCTTTCTGAAACATAAAAAATGAACAAGTAAACAATAAAAGTGTAATGGCCTTCTCTCAGGTTCGATCTGTTACGATATATAATAAAAATAATAATATTTGGTCTAATGATTGCAGGCATTACCTAAAACTGGCATTAATTTGACTGCTTAGATGGACTACCACCATGCAAATGATCATATTCAAACATATAAACAAATAGAAAAAACTACCTTGTGTTCTGGTGTCATGTGTTTACCTGTAAGAAGGGAGCAGCCATCATGGATTTGGGAACGTGGATCGTCTTCATGTGTTGTCCCCCTGAAGAAACATTACCGTGTTTTCCTCTGAACGCCTCCCTCACCGGCTCACTGGGTAAATATTCAACACCTGCAAAAGAAACATGCAGCAGAAACAGAAAAATAGGATTTATTATAAAACGACCATTTAAAGTAAATTAAAGTGGACCTATCATGCTATTTCTAGGCAATAGCATAGGTCCCAGATATATACAAATATATAAAAAACATGTCTATGAAGTGTTTTGCTTAAAATACCAAACAGATCACCCATTCTAGCCATGCCTCATATCCCTCTATTTCACTTCCTGTTTCGAAAGTGCTGATTTTGGGTATAAAGCTTTAAAAAATAAATAATAAAAGAGGAGGGGGCTGAGCTCATGCGGGACCCGTCAGCTACTGTCTAAACTAAATACTGCCGTGATGAAACGCCATATCATGGATTATCATGGATTATTTCTGAAACAGTATGGAGCTCAAAGGCTTTCTCTCTTGCCGGTTATACCACAAGGTGAGTTCCTTTTTACTTCCTGCTTCTTCACACACATGCTCTCCAGTACAGGTTAGCTCTGAGTGTTAGCGATGCTAATGTAAACACCGACCATATTACTTCCAAAACAGTCGGGCATTGTTTCTGATAGCAACGTTTCTGATAGGGCCGTGGGTCCACATTTCAGATATTACGTCATATCGGACGCAAATCTGGATCAGCTCCGTTGTTCCCCGTTTTTAGAGATTTTGGCACGGATGAAAAGAGAGGGTTTTATTTTCTGACGCTGCGTGAGTTCCCCGACACACCGGGGACACATCTTTATGTATAAAAGACATCAAAACGTGCATTTTGCTTGATAGGTCCCCTTTAAAATACCCCACTAATGCATCTCAAATGATGATACAAAAATGTAATATGTAAAATACTGTAGAAGGTGCTTCTGCAAAAACATTTTTTAATAATTGTATTGAGTCATAATCTTCCTATTGTACTTCTGCAAAAGCTATTTCTGATTGAAAGACTTTACTTGTAGAAAACGCACGGCAATTTTACAACAATTAGTCGTGGACTTGCAGATTCATCTAAAATATATAAGAGTTGTTTTCGTTAGAACTCCAAAAGTAAAAGGTCTGAATACAAATGACAAAAGCAGACAATTTTCGTTGAGTAGAAAGCAAACAGCTTCAATTGTATCTTAGATATCACTTGCATTCAAAGAATATATTGGAAAATGAATAATAAAGCTTTTCTCATATTGAATTAGGACTATTTGACTCACCATCTGTGCCTCTCTGGCTATATTCTGCAGACCTGAAATAAGAAAGAAACATAAATCCTACTTTTAAAAAGACATAAATGCATCATTCCTCGTCATTTAAAACTCTCGCACTGTGCTCTCACCTCGTTAACACGTGCCCATTTTTTAACCTGGTCTCTTTTTTCAGCTGCTCCACAAACGTTACCCTCTTCCTCATCGTTTCTCACAATCCTGATATTTCCTGTGTGTGTCGTGGAGGTCGCTGAGTTGCAGCCAAGCCTGAAACGTGACACTTCCCCAGGGTTCCAGTTACCGAGCAGAGGTCTAACACACTTGAACCCAGAGTGTGTTCTCATCTAAAATGTAAAAACACTAAACAGGCTCTCTCTCTGTTTACACACTTTATTGAGCATCAAGTCCGATATACATTGCATTGACACAAAATGGAAATCAAAATAATAACAATAATGGCGTTAGGGTGGATTTACCTGGACACACCATTTTTTCTCAGAGCGTATTGCTTAATGACATTTCAAACGCACCGAATCTGTGCAAATACAGTGAACACCGGTCAGAGGAGGTCATAGAAAATCCAAAGAAAGGTGTAATGTGGACAGCAGTCATGTGATCATGAAGTCTACAGAATATCTACTAAATATACACGTCACATTCACTCAGAACTCCTTCAAACCTGATTGCATGCGCGAAAAACAAAAAACACGGTGAGATATTTGTTCTTTTTAATGTCAGTCAGTCATGTATCATGGTTTCCAGACACCCCCCCAAAACTGTGTGTACCCTTTAAAAAATAAAAGGTGTGTTCATTTCTCCTCAGAACACGTTTACGAAGTGCAGAGAAAACGTCAGGTCTCGTTCAAAAACCCCAATTCAGTGATGGTGATAAATATTGTCCAAGATGTTGATAGAAGCCTAACATGCCACACCAAAATAAGAAAAACTAGCATATTTCTACAACGGAGCCCCGAAAATTCCCTGTGCTAGATTATACAAAAACAGATTTATTCACCTTTAAATTGAGTTAACGTGGATTTCTTTGCAGTTTTGGCTATTTCCCCACTGTATTTGGTTTTCCGTGATTCCTTATAACGAGTGATAATGAATAGATGTCCTAATGGACCATGAGGGACAGGTGTAAAAGGAGTTCTTAACCCACAAAATAATAATTTCTTTAGCAAATATTCATCCTGTTTTAGTTTGAAGTCTGTCAGAAAATGGAGAAAGATTCTGAAGAGGTACTTTTAATTAAATATGGGAAGCAAAAATATATCAAATCATCCATTTACAAACTCACACAACATTTATCCAGTCGTATGAAGACTAATTCCTTTACTATTTACAAACAAATGCACCATTTACTACAATTTTCTTGCACAAAAGAGTTTTAAATAGAGCATTTCAAAGTAAAAGTCATGCGTTTGTGGAGTACTGTGCATAAACGAGTTCATTAAACTTGGATTATACCGTATAAGTGTCAGTTTTTTCATTTTTGTATACTTTGAAGGCATAAAAACACCATTTTCTTTTAGGGTGATTTGACTTAAATTGTGTGATATTTTGTGGGTGAAGTATTCCTTTAAGGATCAGGAGTATGAGAGGTTGAGAAGTTGCTTGTGTGCGAGGCTTTATATTATAAAACAATAACCGTCAAATCACCGAGTAAGCCATTCATTTCACATCGAGCAGATTAAACACAACGGAGCTGTTTGAGGGGTCATGCTGGTTCGAGAGTCAAGGTTTTATAAATAAAACGCTAACACACAGGAAGCTGTTTTTTAGGAAATTAAACTGTGAAACCCCTCGTAAACTGTCTCTCTTAAAGATAACACTGTGAGGAAGTGAAGCCCACAAAAGGCAACAGTGATTCAAAGACGGTGTGGAAAATAATCAGAAATATCGAGAGGGATTCGTTGGGCGACGTTAATCTGGTGACGGGGTTTTATAGTTTTTACACAATCTTGACCACTGAGTTGCATAAGAAACCTGGTACAAAGTAGAAACTGTTCAGCAGCAGATAAAAAAGCAAGTTAATTTACAGTAGTGACATATCTTACATCATTAATTTGTTCAAAATAAATTAAATTAAATATACAATTCCAGGTAGGAAACGGGTTAATTTCGCTGGTAGGGTTTCTCAAATTGGCTCGTCTGGCGGAAAATGAAACCGTTCACAGAAACGTGTTTGAAGCCAACCGGTTCCTTCCTCTGGCAAAACAAGGGGTGCAAAAGCCTGCTGAACCTTCCCTCTGAAGGCATTCCCTTTACCTGGAAAACAGACAAAGAAAACATTGTTATTATTATTGCTTGATAAAAGGGAATTAAGTTCATATCTAATGTTTGTCCTGCACGTAAAAACTAAACTAAATCGGCTCTGTGACTTTAGGCGTAAGATAAAGCAAGTTTTTGGTCTTGTTTTAATTACACTGAATGAGAAATATGAGTTTTTATATTTTTTCATTCAAACAGAGCATGAACAAATAAGTCTATAAATAATTTATCTGTATTTCAAGACTGTTACATGACTGTAATAATAATTAAAAAATGCTGTTTAAGCGCCTTTCACGACACCCAAGTACAACGTACAATTGAGTAAATACTATAAGAGGTAAAAGCAACAGGTAAGAACACAACAGGCGGTCATGGAGGAGACAATCACAAACGATAGGGTCAGGTGATTCAGGGCACACTGAAGGCTGATCTGAACAGGTTGTTGTTTAGTTGGGATTTGAATGTGGTGATTGTGTCGGACTGTCGGATGTGTAACTCTTCACTTACCCTGGAATTTAAATGGATTCCTAATCAAAAGCCATCTCTTGACTTTTTCTTACGCAGCGAGCCACCTTCCTCTTGAATTCTCCGTTAGGGTCCTCCCTCCACTCTTTCTGCGGGAACAACAACACACTGTTCTTTCAGAGACACATCCTCAATTCACTTTAACCGCTATGATGACAGGAATAAACAGGATTTCTACCAGGGTTGGGATCGTATGTGTAAGTACATGAACACAATCTGAAGGCTTATTTGGTGGCCTTTTTAGATCAAAAAAATTTGCCAATAAAAACAACAAGGTAAACTGTTTTTTGGGGTGGGATTTCCCCCCCAAGAGAAGAACAATAATGCTCGACTCCAATCTGACTTGGTGTTAAAAAACAAGCTTATTTTATAGTAAAGAAAAAACATATATTTTTAAAAAGATTTGTAGACATTTTGAGTAGATTCAGAATTTGAGAAGATAAGAAAATATTGATTAAGATAAGCTGTTCTTAAAGCCCGCGTCACACTGTCCCGAAGATGGCCCAGCCAAAGCAAGTATGATGCCTACAGAAGGCCACACGATGGCACCCGAACCACACACTCCGTCATGTTGTTTCCATAGCAACAACAACTTCCTGTCAACAGCATAAACTCGCCTTCAAAATAAAAGCATCTAAATAAAACAGGAAGTTAACCTAAATTACATTTAAGACATACAACTGCAACAAAAGTAACAAAAACAATGAAATATCCTTTTCAGTTTCACAGAACACAAATTGGGTTATTTACATAATATGTTTACATGATTTAGTTGTGAAATAAATGCAATCTCTATGTCATCGTACTATAATACGATGGCTACACGACGGCATTGTGAGGGCTTCACGTAGTCGTGTTGCCTTCCTAAGACAACCGGGCGGCTTCTTGTTTCCTTCTTATTGTCTTCGTGAGGCGAAAAATGCCCGATGGCACCGATGATCACACGAAGATGACACGATGCCCTCACGATGGCCTTACGAAGGGCAAAATGGACCCACAAATTCAACATGAAAATGAACCTTCGCAAGGTCCTTTGGCAATTTTTTGGCATGCCAAAGATTTTGCCACCGCTCACGAAGTTGCTGCTGGAGCCTGAGAAACTCCACCGGCGGTCATACGATGGCTTAACCTGTTAAACCCCGAGCCTGTTTTTCAGGTTTCAGGCTCGAAAAGGACATTCCCAGAACAAATGACCATATCTTCCCTTTAAAAGGGTTAAATTAATAATCTTTTTTCTCAAAGTAATGATAAACCTGTGAGTTGGATGTAGAAAATTCAGAATCAATATAGATGTTTTTTATTTTAAAGAAAATTCAGATCGAACATGGTAAAAAACTGTAAATGTTAGTGTCCGTCCAAAATTTCTTTTTTCGATTTTGACGAATTAAATCTCTTTATAACCGCTAGAGCCAATGGAATCGAAGGGAGTTTTCACATAGACACCAACGTTAACACAAAAAGGTAGGGGGCTTTGCGCATGTAGTTTTGCATGAGAGTGAAGCTATCTCTCGCTCTGACATCTGGAAACGGAAAAGCAGGGTTTATTGCTTATGGATCATCAGAAATCATTTCAAAGGGACACAGACACATTGGATTAACCTATGGATTAACTTCAGCAGCGTTTTTATC